GGGAGGCTCAGGAAGGTTAAATAACTTGTTCTAGTTCCCCTCATCATTATGTGCAAAGACTGGACTTGAATCCAGCTCATTTTGACTACAAGGAAGACTCTCTAGCCTCTTCTCCAGGTTATTTTTATTTGATAGCATACTAAAGTAGAAGATTTTAGGAGAAATGAAATGTGTATGATGACACTATTCTTTCTCATATTAGGAGATATACAGATCCACTTAACCATGTAAGGATGTTGAAATGAAATGATAAAATTAATTTATCTAAACCACAACTGGTAGAAGAAATGAAAAGAAACACGAGGATTCAATCACTGCCAATACAAAAGGACTAGTTCATCTTGAGAGATATGAAAAATGAATTTTCCCAGGTAAGTGATGATTGTCTTTGGTCTGTCATCCTATTATTTTAATGGAGATTACTTCTAACAGGCAGAAGTAGGACAATTAGTTCATTAGCTCATGTCCACACAACACTTAACGTGTGCAATGCATTTTACACATTTTATCTCATTTGGCCCTCATGAATGGAGCTGTAATAATATAGTGCTGAATTTAACAGTATTGTATTATGTTTATGTCCTTTTAGATTTTAAAATTTATAATTTGGTTAATCTATACTAAATCATTTTCATGTAAATCACCATCAGATAGGAAGCCCCTACAATATGGGGAATCCTGCCAAATTAAAAGACCATCCATTCTTTTTGTGTTTAAAGGCTAGAACATCTTTTAAAAATTCCTCTCAACACCCTGAACACCTTTGTTTGGAATCACAGATGGAAAAAAACCTCTCAGCTTCAGGCTATACAATTCATTTAAAATGTGTTCTTTTGCTGACTAGCATCTTGAGCTTTCACCCTTAGGATAAAGTAGACCTAGGCAAACAAAAATGTCTGGATTGTAGAATTAACACCTCCTGGAAAGTCTGGCGTTGGGGAAAATAGCATGTACTTCTCCAGTGCTCTATGTTAAAAATTAATTTTGTCTTTTCTTTCTAAATGGTTTCACAAGAAAACAAAGAACTTGGATTCAAGTGAAAAAAAAACAGAGATAAAATTCTTTCATTTCTGGAAGGAAAAATAACAGTGAAATTGTGTACATGTATGATAAAAGGATTAAGAAAATATAGATAGATATCTGTCCCATCATTGGGGAATAAATGTCTAAAGAAAGAAATGAATTAGAAGTAGGTTCCATTTTATTGATGCCTCCAGATGTGGATTATCTTTATTTCTGTTCAAAGGAACTTAATTAAAATCTATCACGTATATAATCTGAAAAAAGTACACATTTTAGGTCAGTAGAAAACTCTGCCTTTAGAAAATACTGACAAACAGGCATCTCCATTAAAGGAGAGACATAGAAGACCTATTTGGTAACCCCTTGTGGTAACTTCCCACCAAAGGTCTCCCTAGACCAGGGGTTCTTAAAATAGGGTCTGGTAACTTAAAAATATTTTTATGACTGTCTTTCAATGTAATTTGTTTCCTTTGTAATCATATTATTTTGTTTTATGCATTTAAAAACTTAATTCTGATGGGGGTCCATAGGCTTCAACAGACTTTTCAAGGACTCATAACACACAAAAAGGTAAAGAACTTTTGATTTAGACTTTACGAAATTGTCAGAAAGACTTAGGTAAGGAATGGCTTTATATTAGTAACAAAGATGCATAGGACTGAAAAAGAAAATCCATTACACTAGAAACATGTTGACTCTAGGACTGATACAAAAGAATGATAGGTAAAATAACCCCTTTGCTCAAAGAAATAATTATTCAAGTATGGTACCACCTAGACTCTATAGTCTTATCTTACAGAATATTAAAAATAAGACATTGAGAAAATATTAAAAAGTGGAACCACTGTAAATTCCTACTATTAATCTCTAGAATAATCTGTAGTATACAACGAAAAAGGCATGTAAACAAGAGAAATAGACATACAAGAGAAAGGATAGCATAAGACACAGAGATACAACACATAAAACTATGGCTGTTGTTGATGGGCAGTATATAAAACACTGTCTAATATTCATATGAGTAAAAATAGTGCAAAGAAAGACACACACAGCTGTTAAACTGCACTAACTTTATTCCCCAGATATTTTGTTCAAATTCTAATGAGTATTTTTTTAATCTCTGCTTTACTTTCATAGTGTGAATAGTAAAACATCCAGATTAATGGAGTAAAAGAGAGGGAATAGTAATAGAGTGATGAAGTAAAAGAAAAGTGATGATGTAAAGGGCAAATAAATCAGAGGTGTTTTGCTGTATATAACCTATAAAAATATTCAGTAGTTAATTTAACCAATCAAAAACACAGTTACAATGCCTTTGTCAACTGGCCCTTTCTAAATTATGGATTTATAGATGAAAAAAAGAGAGGGAGAGAATTAGGAGACTGGAAGAAATGAAGATAGCTGGAGGGTAGAAGCCTTAAATAATTCCTATTAAAAATGTACTAGCATAAAAACTATGTTTTAACATGAGGTATTTAAATGATAGTTTCAACAAGCAACAAAAACTGTTGCTATTTAAAATGTATTATATTTTATTATTTTTAAAATAATACAGATGGTATAGTACATTCAGTTTCCTGAGCATTAGTTTGTAAAGCATAATGGCAAGAGTAGTTGTTTATCTTCAAGTAAATTTTCTGCATTGGTTATTCCTTAATTCTAATAAATTTTCAAATAGGTCAACTTTTTGGATTGGAAGATTAAAAGCCTTTTTTTTTTTTAATATAAAGCTGAACATTACTTCATTAGTCTATATTGAATCAATTAGAAATCTTCAACAACTAGGACTCTCTCTGAGCATTGCCTTGGAATGACTCTAAAAAAATTAAATGTTATATGATTTGTCCAATTAGAAAGGTCTATATCATGTTCAAGCAACCATACTTGCATTATCAAAACAATACATCTATTACTTCAGAAAAAAAAGGAAGCATAATTTTCACATAGTGTGGTATCATGGATTTAAACATTCAACCAAAGCTTCGTTTTCCTTCATATTTCCTGAAATGTATAGAAGAATATGCTAAATTCAGTTTCTTTCAAGCTGAGATTAATGGGTTGACACAGTGAAATAATGAGTTGTCTATTTCAGTTGCTACAGCTATAAGCATTTGATAAATGATCAAAGTAAATAAAAATGAAATCCATATTTCTGGAATTCCAAATTTTTCTCTCTCAAACCAATATATACACAGAACAAAAAGAAGTGTATTTTGATATGGTGGCATAAAAAGAGCATTTCACGAGTAGCACAGAATAAATCAGAAAGCCTTATTGTGTGAAATAAATCTAGTCATTCAGAATGGATAATGTACTATTAATAAAAAAAAATGAAAGGATGAAAATTTCAACTTGTGAATCCTACAATGTGACCAAATATTACCAAAGCATAGAGGAAAAAAAACCTTTAAAATACAAATACCCTTTGCAAGAGCAATGATCATCTTGTTTATCTATTTCCTTTTATCAACATAAGGTCCTAAATTGCTTAAACCCTCTACTGAATTGAAATGTCTAACCAATTTATCACCCTTTCAATTACTTGGCCAGAAGAACCCTCTGCTCACCTATATACGAGGATCATATATCAAAATAATTTTGGCGATCAAAATGTTAACTACTTCCAATCTGTGCATTACCTTGGCTAGAAGTTGTTCAAAGTAATATTCAGCTATCCACAATTAATATTCAATTTATTCATAACTGACAACATTATCTTCATAACAACACAAAAAGGATTTCTCCTGAGTCAAATGCCCAATTTCACAGTTTTCTGACTAGCCAGATGATTCTTAAATGAATAAAGTTTTGCTCTGCATTGCTGAAACAGCCCTGACTGCCCAGCCCATCTATTTAAGGCAGACATAGCATCACTAGCCATACTGGGCAGAGTAACAGTTTGCCAATCCTCCTCCCTTGAGGAGACACAAACTTTGTCAGGGGAGCTGAGATTCGGCACGGACACACAAAGGACACCCTGACTCCCAGCAGCTGGGCCAGGCCACTCGTGCTCGAGGCTTTGACAGCTCCTGAACATCCGCGAGAATGGAGGCTGTGTCTGTCCGTGGTGCTGAAAGCCTGCGGCCGCCTCTTAAAACGCTTTCTCGTCTGCACCCCCGTACAGCACCAGGACGGTGGGCCATGCACTTGGGTGGCAGGGAAGGAGGATTTGAAATAGGTGAATGGGTTTCACGGCTTAAACTCTTTCCTAGACAAAGGGTAAGTTTATGCACACGGAACTGAAGGAGCGGTCCTGGTGGGCATTTCCACATCCAGGCCGAGCAGCAATCGGGCCTGCCGCAGTCGGCACCCGAACCCACGGCCGCTGGGGCACGGCGCCCAAGCCCTGCTCGGGCACAGGAGGGAGGCTCCCGGGCCAAGAGGCCAAGTGACTCGCCCAAGGTCGCACAGTTAGGAAGGTTCCGGGACGGACAGACCCCCAGGCGACCCTTGCCCTGCCCCGAGGAGGGACGGCAAAGGAGCGGGGAGGGGCAGGGGGCTGCCTCGTCCAGGGCACCGAGGGGGCGAGCTCGGCTTTTCTTTTGTTCTCCGACGGGGTGAGTGTGAGCGAGTGTGAGCGAGTGTGTGTGAGTGTGTCCGCGTGCCCAGCCGGGGTAGCTCGGAGTTCGGGCCATGGGGAGCCACAAAAGGGGGGCCGCAGCGCCCCCTTCCGGGTTCAGCTCGGACCTCCTCCTCTGCCCCCCCGGGTCCCCTCATTTTGTGCCCCTGGAAAGCCCGCTGACCACCGGGACCTTCCCCACCCGTGCCCAGACCCTCGACCGCCCCCCCCCCCGCGCTGTGGGTCAGTGTCTGTACCCGGCACCCCCGCGGGGTGGCCTCCTGTCACTTAGCCCCCTCCCTCTCTGCACCTGCCTCTCCCTGACCCCCCCTTGTCCCCAGCTGTGCTTCCCCTCTCCGCCCCCCGCTGACTGACTATGCCCCCGCCGCGCCCCTCCTTCCCCGCCCCCCGGACCCACCGTCGCGCTCGCACAGCTGGATGGCCTCCAGGCTCAGGTTCTTGATCACGTCCTCGCACGGGCTGGCCGGGCTGCCCAGGGCAGGGTCGAGGCGCGGCGGCACGTCCATGCTCCGGCTCCGGCTCCGGCTTTCTCTCTTTCTGTCTCTCTGTGTCTCTGTCCCTCCCTCCCCGGCTCCGCTGCGCTCCGCTCCGCTCTCCCCCAGCGCCGGGGCCCGACGCGGCTCCGGCAGCTCCGGCGGCTCTGGCGGCTCCGGCCGTGTGAGCGTCTGACACCGACTGAGGCGGAGGAGCCCGGCCGAGAGTGGGCGCGCGTGCGCAGAGAGCGGGAGGGGGGCGCGAGGGCTCCAGGCTGCGGGAGGGGGGCGGCGGGAGGAGGGCGCGAGGGCGCGCGCGCCCGAGGGCTGGGGGTGGGGAGGGAGCGTCCAGGCCGGCCGGGCGCCCGCGGGAGGGCGCAGGGGCGCGCGCCCGCCTGCCCGCCAGCCGGCCTGTGCCGGTGCCAACCGCCGCGGGAAAACAGCGTCGGGCTCCCCAGCGCTGGCTCAGGGGCGGGGGCGGGGGGGCGGGGGCGGGGCGGAGGACAGGTCGGGGAGGCATGGGAGAGGGGCGATAAAAAACGGCCGCCCGCGCGCACAGCCCAGGGTGGACGGCGGCGGAGGAGCCAATGCCCCCCCCAACCCTTGCTGCGGCGGTGAATGAGCGCCCCCTAAGGGCCGGGCCGGTGCTGGGCGCTCGGCGCTGGTCCGTACAGCCGGGGCAGCGCCTGCCCTCACCGGGCTGACGTTGTGCCCTCCTTGTCTGTGTGTGTCTGTCGGTGTGCGTGTCTTTTTGTCCGTGTGTCTGTCTCTGCATGTCGGACCCATCTGTCCATGTCTTTGTGCTGCTGGTGCCTGTGTCTGACTGACCTCTGTGCCTCTGTGCACGAACCCCGCTGTCTGCCTGTGCAGATTTCTCTCTGTCTACCCATTCATCCATCCGTCTGTCTGTCTGTCTGCCTAGCTATCTCTACTATCTATCTGTATTTATCTTTCCATCTGCATCTGTCTGTCCCTGTAGCCATCTGTCTGTCTTCCCATCTCTCCTCTCTCTCTCTCTCTCTCTCTCTCTCTCTCTCTCTCTCTCTCTTCTCTCTTCTTCTCTCTCCTTCTCTCTCTTCCTTTGCTCTCTCGCTGTCTCTCTCTCTCTCTCAGTCTCTGTGTCCCTCTGTCTGTCTCTTCCTTCTTCTCTCTTCCTTTGCTCTCTCTCTCTCTCTCTCTCTCTCTCTCTCTCTCTCTCTGTGTCTCTCTGTCTCTCTCTTTCTTCTTCTCTCTCTCCCTTTGCTGTCTCAGTGTCTGTCTCTCTGTCTCTGTCTCTTCTCTCTCTCTGTCTCTCTGTTCCTTCTTTCTCTGTCTCTCTGTCTCTCTTCTCTCTCTGTCTCTGTCTCCGTGTCTCTCTGTCTCTTCTCTCTCTTCCTTTGCTCTCTGTCTCTGTTCCTTCTTTCTCTGTCTCTCTGTCTCTCTCTTCTCTCTCTTTCTGGCTTTGTCTCTCTCTGTCTCTGTCTCTCTTAGCGGGCACTTTGACTAAGTGGCCTCTGCTGTCTTCTTCAGCTCTAGCTCTGAAATCCTATGGTCCTCATATGTGCACAGCATATAGAGGCACCTGGGTGGCTCAGTGGAAAGAGAGCACTGAACTTGGAGTCAGGGTGATATGGGTTCAAGTCAGGGCTTGGAGATTCACTAACCCTGGGCATGACATTTATCTGCCCTCTGCCATAGTCTCCTCATCTGTAAAATGGGGATAATAACAGCAGGAACCTCACGCGGTTGTTGTAAGGATCAAAGAAAATGCTCCACAAAGCTTATAAACCTTATCAGGAAGACTCAAGTTCCAGCCCTGCCTCTCACAGCCTGGCCAAGTCTCTTAATCCCCACATGCTCCAGGCAGCTCTCTGAGCCATGAGTTACAGAAGGAGTGGTAAGGACCAGTTGCCTGCATTGCCCCACTGACAGCTTCATACTCTGATGAAATTCATTAAAACAAGCGCAATGAATGGGCCTGTTTGGTCCAGGTAAACTGGCCTTGTCTTTCTTCCTTGAACGTTATAGTCATCTCTATGTCTTCTCCCATGCCTGGAATGCATTCCCTTCCTCCCCTCCCCTCTGCCTCATATGATCCCTCTGTCCTTAAAGACCCAACTCCTACACCCCCTTCTACATAAGGAATTCATAACCCTTTTTGCCTCAACTGTTTTGGTGGTCTTCTGACACCTGTAGACCTCTCCTCACTGCCCCTACTGTGTGCTTGGCATGGGGTTACAAAGACAAAAACAGAAGAATTCCTGCCTTCAAGGAACTTGCTTCCTACTATAGATATAACATATATTCATTATAAAATATGTGCATGTATAGGTAAGTGTGTATATATGGATAGTTCAATTTTTATCTGCATGAAGATAGACATAAAAAGCTACAGATATATCCATAAAAATACATAGTCAAGACAGTTATTAAGACCCTACAATGAGCCAGGTGAAGAAGAGGCAGCATACTACAGTGAATACAGAGCCAGCCTCAGGATCAGGATCAGAAATACTTGGTTCACATCTCATCTCTGAGACAAATTGCCTTGGAAGACCATAGTGAAGTCCCTTAACCTCTCTGTGCCCTGAGCAACTCAATGAAAATATTAAATTTCAGGTAAGTGCTAGTCTGCATTTGATAGAGGAAGTTCTTTCCCAGGACCTCCTTACACTTTTGACATCACAGATCTGGGTCCCCCCCCCTCCAAAAGGGGAACCAGGAACCACTCTAGATATGAGAGGTACAAAGGTAAAAATGGTTCCTGATCCCAGGTCTTGAATTCTATTGGAAAGGATTAGGGGAAAGTCTATAAATTCACAGATTATTAAGAAGGAGAAAGGATCATGGAATCCAGCATTCTCATTTTTTCATTTAAAGGTGGAAGACACTGGGGAGGTTATGGAACTTGCCAAAAGTCACAGAATAAGTTGGTGCCAGAGCTGAGACTCCAACCCAGGTTTCCTGACTCTCAGCTCTTCTCCTGGGCAAGGCTCTTCTGCTCAGTAAGTCAGTGAGCAGTCAGGCCTACTCTGTGGCAGGCACTATGACAAGCACCACCTTGTTTCTGAGGTTCTCCAAGGAAGGAAGATCATTTCCCAGTTTTGGACTTCCTTCAATAATATTTTGGTGAGGGAGAAGTAACTAGATTTGCAGTTGGAGCCCATATGCTGCCCTGCTCTAGAGAGGTTGGAGAGCAGGTAGGCTGGGGTGCCCGTAAGGATAGGGTCCTGAGGCTCAATAGACTTGTCCTTCTCCACCACCCTCCAAGGAGGAGAAAGCAGCCACACTTTCCAGCAGGGACCTAGAACCAGGCAAATGCCTCAGAAAAATTACCCCAGAAACCATGGGTCAATTCTACAGGAACCAAAGAGTGACAATCATTCTCCCTTCCCTTTTCAGAGGTTAGTGAAAGACTCCTTTGGTTTTTGTTTGTTTGTTTGTTTATTTTTCTGCAGACAGCTTCATTTCCATTGAATGAACATCTCTTTAAGACCAAACATTCTCCAAGTGGCTCCAGTGCATAAAATGTCAGAAAAGCCACAATTCTGGCTCATCCAAAGGGAAAAATGGCAGGGTACATGGTGCGAGGCCCAATACCTGGGATTGGTAAAGCTCTTACCTGGGGTATCTGGTAGTAAGTGAATGTTGAGAATACTCTCCACCACTTGGTAGAACCGTTTAGCCTTTCCTCCCCTTCACCCCCTTCACAGAGCCAGACATCTGCCACATCTTTCCAGTCTGACCTCCATAACATTTCTTGCATTTTTTTCTTCTCTCTATGCATAGTGCTAGGGCTTTGGTTTAAGCCCCCATCATAGTGTAATCTAGTACTACAACATTAACCTCTTAATGCATCTCCCCGACAGTCTGTCCTCTATGTAGCTGCCACAGTGACTTTCCTTAAGCACAGATCTGACCATGTCACTGCCTTGTTTAATAAAATTCAGCTGCTCCCTATTACTTCTTGAATATAAACTATTGAAATCCCATTTTAAAGCCCTTCACCGCCTGGCCCTAACCTATCTTTGAAGCCTGACTATCTCTCCTCTACCTGTATCCTATGACCCGGCTGAGCTCTCCTTGGTTCTGTCTCACTCATGATATTCGTATTCCTCATCTCAGTGCCTTTGCATTGACCATCCCTGATTCTTGGAATGGGACATCTAGATGGCACAGTGGATAGAGCGCCCACCTAGAGTCAGGATAACTCATCTCCCTGAGTTCAAATCCAGCCTCAGACATGGACTGTGTGACCTTAGGCAAGTGACTTAACCCTGTTTGCCTCAGTTTCCTCATCTGTAACATGATCTGGGGAAGGCAATAGCAAACCATTCCAGGATATTTGCCAAGAAAACTCCAAATAGGATCACAAAGAGTACAACATAACTAAATGACTGAACAACAACATGCCTGGAATACACTCTCCCCTCTGTCTCATAGAATCTATTCCTTAGAGACCCAACTTATATGCCACCTTCTACACCAGGAATTCTTAGTCTTTTCTACTTCATGGACCTCTTTGGCAGTTTTGTAAAGCCAACAGACTCCTCCCTTCTCAGAACAATTTTTTTTAACTTTCATAATTGACGGAAATGTAAACATTTTGATTTTTATTGAAAATAAAAGTGTAATTATTTTCTCCATTCAAGTTCATAGATCACTTAGTGATCTATCCATGGGCTCCTTAAGGATCCATAAGCCCCAGATGAAGAACCCTTGTTCTCCACAGAGCCTCTCCTGGTTTTCCTCAATTTCTGGTGCCTCCATAATGACCTCGTATCCATCTGCCTTGCACTTATTCCATATATACTTATGTAAGTTCATACTATCCCTCCTGATAGAACACAACTCCTTGAGAGTAGAGTATTGCTTCATTCTTTGTATTTATCACCAGCTCCTAGCATGGCGCCAGCACACAGCGATGCTTATGAAATGCTTGTTAATTGATTTGCAGGCGAGAAAACTGAAACATAGAGATGTAGAGCAAGGCTTTTAGCAAGTTTTAGAGGCAGGATTTTAAGATGGGTCATCCTTAATGTCAGTGGTCTGCCCCACTACTCCATGCTGCCTGGATCATCAAGAACATGTCTAAGTGGGAGAGTAAAACAAAGGAAGAGAGAGGAGATGGTCATCAAGAAGACATCCAGACACCCAGAAGACAGGCTGCAGTGCATTGGACGGATTCTCTGTGAAGGAAATGGAAAGATCAGAAGTGTGGTATCTGCATGCATGGAGGGAGTGCTGAATAAATATGGCAGGAGGGAGACTG